CACTTCTAGGGTGGGCAAAAGAGGCCATTGGAGCCTTGGGGTTATCCCTGTAAAATAGACAAAGTCCAAGCATCCAAGGACCACTGAACCTCAGAGCTTTAGGTCCTTTTGCTAGAAGTGTTTCTCTTTAGATATCAGGACTGTATAGGGGAAAGGGCATCTCCCCTTTGCTCCAGATTCGGAACATGGAACCCTGACTTTCTGCTCCCTCTGCCAGTCCCCAACAGAGTGACAAGCCTTGGGATGCAGGACCAGACCAACAGTTCCATCACCTTGAGCTGGACAGCTCCCCTGGGCCCAGACCAACCACCCTACACCTACTGGGTCCAATGGTCGAGGGAGGAAAGTGTACAAGGGACCCAAAACATCTCAGATACCAGTATCACGGTGAAGGAACTAGAAGCTGGGACTTTGTACACCTTCACTGTTTGGGTCGAGAGGAACAATGTCAACAGTACAAACAAGATGATTAATGCATCTACAGGTAAGACATCTTTTACAAATCACTTCTGGGGCAGGCAAAAGGAAGTCAGAACTGAAACACCTCAGATACTAGAATCACAGTTGAGGAACTGGATGCTGGGAGTTTGTACTCCTTCACTGTGTGGGCCCAGAGGAACAGGGTCAGCAGTGACACTAGGACTCTCACTGAAGCCACTCATAAGACAGTCCAGTCATGGGTGCAGCACTGTTGAGATGGGGGACAGGAAAAGGGATGAGAGACTTTGGGAATCTCCTGGGAAATGCACAGTGTTCTCAGGGACTGGGGAACCTTACCTGACCTTATTGAGTCTCAGGCTTGTTGGCAAGTTACTAGGGAGTGTCTTTCCTCAGCAACCAGGACTTCCCAAAAATGGGCCCATCTCTTCTGTCTTTGGGAAATGGGACCTTTGGGGTCAAGGACATCCCCTGACTGCCCAGCATCACCTCTCAGGACTCAGCAAAATCACCAGCTGGATAATAGACAACAACTTGTCATGCTGAGTTAGATGAATCAAGAGGACCTAGCCTCTCAGCCTAAACATGTGGGGAACCAAAATCATCCTACTAACTAGCTTCACATGGAGGGATAAGTTTTTGACCCTTGGCCATTTGAGCTAAGAAAAATAAAATCAACAGCTCCATCTTGAAACTTGATGTGTCTGAAAGTGAGAAAGTTCCCAACCCTGGCGGCTCATAGGAGAGAGAATATTGAGAAAGATGATGGAGGGAATCAAGGGCTGGAGCTGGGGAGTGAGAAAACTGAGGCCTTCTTGGTCCTGCCAATCCTTAGGTTTCTAGGGTCTTGTTCTGTGGTACAACCCTCCTTAGAAACTAGAGCCATTGGTTGACTGAGGAATCTCAGGTTTTGTTTGAGGAGAAAGGTGGGCAGGATGAGGTATGAGGGTCATTGAGAATACGTCTCCCTTAAATTTCTAATCCTCACCTCTCAGTTCCCAATGAGGTCACAGATCTGAACACAACTCAGACCAACAACTCAGTCACACTAAGATGGAAGCCCCCCACAGACCCTTACTCTCATCTTTACATATACTGGATCCAGTGGGCCACTGGGGGACAGCTCCACAGGGGGAAAGATCTCCAAGGAGATAAGATCAACCAGACAGCCAAGACCAATGAGACTCAGTACACAGTGAAGGCCCTTTCACCCGGGACTCTGTACAACTTCAGCGTGTGGGCAGAGATTAACAATGTATTCAGTTTCATACACAGCCTTCATGCATCCACAGGTAAGATGGACCTCACTTGTACCTGGTGGATTGGGCTTACTTAAGTCAGACCTTGAGGGCAATGAGAAGTGAATGGATTACAAATCCCATCAGGACATGGGGTAATGACCTGATATGTTGCAATGGCATGGAGAGTCCAAGAGCTCATGAAAGTTCCAGTTTGAGTGGTGTTGTTGGCGTTGAGGGAAGACTAGAAAACGAAGGAAGATAATAGATTTTTGTTTGAGGAGGATGGGATGGGGTAGTTTGCAGAGAACTGGCATGACTGGTTGGGCAGTCACATTAGATGGCTCCTCATTGGCTCTTTTTACTTCCTTTACTCAGCTCCTGACCCTGTCGCCATCACATCCTGTGTCAGTACCTCGGGCGGTTATGGGGTCATCCTGACCTGGTCTTGCCCCCCAGGAGGCTACGAGGTCTTCAAGTTGCAGGTGGGCAGGCAGGACTTTCAGAACACAACCTTGTGTGAGAGTGGAGTGTCCTTGTCGGGTTTCCAGCCAGCTCAGTCCTACCTAGCCACTGTCACAACTGTGTGGGATGGAATGAGGGCGCCATCTGCCTCCATGACCTGCTACACTGAGAGTACAGGTGAGCAAGCCCCACAGGACCTGACACTGGGAGGGAGGCCTCACTGGGTTCCATCAAACTTATTGTGATGAAGTCTCACTCTAGCTATGGGGTTCTTACTGTTTATCTTCTGTTTGTTTGTTTTTTTAACAGCTTTATTGAGCTACGATTTACATACCATACAATTTATCCATTTAAAGTGTACAACTGAATGGCCTTTAGTTTACTCACAGAGTTGTGAAACCATCACCACATCTATTTTAGAATATTTTCATCACCCCGAAAAGTAACCCTGTCTTCTTGAACTGTTACCCCCTAACCCCCCATTCCCTCTCAACCCTAAAACTAGTTGCCGTAGAGTCAGTTTCAACTCATGGCAATCCCATGTGTGTCAGAGTAGAACTGTGCTCCCAGCCCTGGCAACCACTAATCTACTTTCTCTCTCTATGGATTTACCTATTCTGGATATTCCATATAAATGGAGTCACACAATGTGTGACTCTTCGTCTCTGACTTCTTTCATTAAGCACAATGTTTTAAAGGATCGTCTATGTTGTAGCATGTATCAGCACTTCATTCTTTCTTAACGGCTGAAAAACATGCCATTGTATGGATACACAGGTAGTCCCCAACTTACGACGGGGTTCCGTTTTGAAGACTCTGTCGTAAGTCAGTTCTGAGGTAAGTTGATTACCTTTTTTTGTTTTTTTTTTTTAGTTTCCATTATTATTGCCTTTTAACCCCTTCAAGACCCTATTATTTTCCGCTTTGAATTTTTTTTATATACCATGTGTTTTTATTAATGGAAGTATGCTGAGTCATGGAGTGTGTTTACATTTTTGATTGGTAGCATGGATTTTGAGAAATACGATGTGGGAATACATGTTACCACAAAACTCAAGGGTTTCTCTGGCACCATGATTAGTGGGCACCGGCCTGTCTCACCAGACCGGGGTGGCAGGATGTATTGCGGGGTGCCTTCCACTGGGGTACACTGGGCACCTCTGGTTTTCCAAACATGACATATACACAAAAACAAAACAAAACCCACCAGCACCCTAACTATTACACAGGAACCCATAAATATGCTTACAAGGCTTATCTAGTTGTACAAAAGTCAAAACAAACAAAATTTTTATCCAGTCACACTTCCTGGATACACTAACTCACGTTTAAGCCTGATATCCCAGCTATTTTGCTTTAATGAATGTTTCTTTCACAATTACACAAGTCCCAAATGGAGGGCAGTGAATACTTTTAGCAGGAAAAGTAGAGTCCCAAGAGACCTGAGAGGTGGAAAAAGTGGATGGGACATTGTATATCCCATGGATCCTTAAAGGGTTTATTATCAGTATCTTTATAAACCTGATCTTTATTTGTCTTTGGGGGTTTGGAAACATCTGTGAGTGAACATCTGAGAATAATAACATCAGCAAATCATGTGCTGCAACAATGTATGTAGTATATATTACTAATGATAACGTAAAAAAAAAGGTGATTGGTTATAAGTTCAGTTCGTCATAACTTAAATATGTTGTAAGTCAGGGACTGCCTTAGCACATTTTGTTTATCCGTTTGCCATTTGATGGGTATTGGGGTTGTTTCCACTTTTTGGTTATTAAGAATAATGCTGCTAGGAACATTTGTGTACAGATTTTTCAATCCTCTTGGGTATATACCTAGAAGCAGAATTTCTGGGTCATATGGTAACTCTGTTTCACTGTCTGAGGAACTACTAAATCATGTTCCAAAGTGGCTACCCCATTTTATAGTCAGCAATGGGATACTTGAAGAAATCTGAATTTCACACCCAGGAGGAGTCTGACCAGGTACCATGGCCATGGCTGCAGGCCTCACTGGGCCCCAATCTTTGGGACAGTCACTTATGTCCTAGGAACCAGGGCCTCTTATAAGATTGGGTCTCCTATCTGGGACACTTAAAAAAAATTATTGTGGTAAAATATATATATAACATATTGCCTCCATGAACAACTTCTCCCTTTGCCATAAGACCAGAAGAACAGGATGGTGCCTGGCTACCATTACTGAGCGTTTTGATAAAAGATTCTATAGAAGAAAAAAGAGAGAAAACGCAAAACAGAATTTCAAATTCCCATGGAATTCAGACATTCTGGAGCTATGGAGGCTGGACGAATGAACACCTGAAACTATTGCCCTGAGATAATATTTAAACCTTAAACCAAAAATATCCCCTGAAGTCTTCTTAAAACCAAACTATAGTTTGGATTAACTAGTAAAGAATGTCTGCCTTGAGCATTGTGCTCTTTTAAGAACTATCTATGTGGGATCAAATTGACAACAGCAACTTGAAATATTAGATAGGAAACTTAAGGGGTAGTAAATTTATGTTAACAAGGGAAGAATAATTTGGAAAAGGAGGGTGAGAATGGTTGCATTGTAATCAGTGTCACTGAATTGTACACGTAGAAACTGTTTAATTGGTGTATGTTCTGATGTGCATATTCTGAACAACAAATAAAATAAATTATAAAAATACATATAGCATAAAATTTGCCATTTTAACCATACAACTCAGTGACATTAATTATATTCACAATGTTGTGCAACCTTCATCACTATCTACTTCCAAAACCTTTTCATCTCCCCAAACAGAAACTCTGAACCCATTAAGTACTAATTTCCCACTTTCTCCTCTCCATAGCTCTTGGTAATCTCTCATCTACTTTCTGTCTCTATGAATTTGCCTGCACTTGTTATTTAGTATAAGTGGAATTATACAATATTTACTCTTTTCTGTCTGGCTTATTTCACTTAGCGTAATGTTTTCAAGGTTCATTCATGTTGTAGCATGTATCAATACTTCATTCTTTTTTGTGACTAAATAATATTCCGTTGTATATACATACTGTATTTTATTTATCTATTCATCTAAGGATGGACTGTTGGGTTGTTTCTATCTTTTGACTGTTGTGACTAGTGCTGCAATGAAGGGACAGTTGGCATTTTGGGCTGGATCATTCTCTGTTGTAGGGGCTGTCTTGCGCTTTGTAGGATGTTGAGCAGTACACCTGGCCCCTGCACATAGATGCCAGTATGCCAGACATTGTCACATGTCCCCTGGGGGTGGGTGCAAAATCATCCCCAGGTAAGGACCACTGGTCTAGACCAAGGACGGAAAGGGTTGTTCTTTCGTGACTAGGTCGCCCGATAGAATGTCTTTGACCAGACTCCTGGAGAAATGAGAGGCGAAGAGAAAAGGTGGGTGGGAGGTGGACCTTTGAATTGAAAGAACGGTGGATTGGGCCCGACCAGGCATTATCCAGAAGATTTCGCCTTTCGTTTTTTGCCCTAGCATCTTTTCTGTAGGCCCTCTGTATTAGTCAGGGTTCTCCAAAGAAGAAACAGAACCAACAGGAGACAACAGGAGATACACAGAAATAGATAGAGATCAACTACTACTACTACCAGTTGCCATGGAATTGATTCCTACTCTTGGTGACCCCATGTGTATCATAGTAGAACTGTGCTCCATTGGGTTTTCGGTGGCTGAGATCTTTCAGAAGTAGATTGCCAGGCCTTTCTTCCAAGGTGCCTCAGGAAGGATTCAAACCCCCAACCTTTTGGTTAGTAGAAAATGCTTAAACATTTGTGCCACCCAGGGAATCACTCTCTCTATATATATATATGTATATATACATATAACACACACAACTTGACAACAACGATCACCACCAACAACATATACATATAAAACAAATTATAGATACATGTATATATGTGTGTGCATGTGTGTGTATGTATAAAGTGAAACCTGTGAGACCCAGAACTCGATGAGACTGCCTTGTTTTTCCAAGTCTCGCAAGTTTTCTGCCTTTGACAGGGTGCAGTCTTACCTCTTTTCTATCTCTCCTTTTAGTGGAAAATATTTGTGTTTTCCTTCTCTGACAAGTTTCTGCCTTACACAGGTTGTATATACAGAGAGAGAGAGGAAGAGGGAGAAAGAGAGATTGATTTTAAGGAATTAGCTCACGTGATGGTGGGGCCTGGCAAGTCCAACAACATGTACACACACACATATATATACAAATTATATATACATGTATACACGTGTGTGCATGTATGTGTATATATGTACATATAGAGAGAAAAAGAGATTGATTTTATTTTAAGGAATTGACTCATGTGATTGTGAAGACTGACAAGTCTAAAATCTGTAGGGCAGGTGGCAGGCTGGAAACTCCAGCAGGATTTCTACTTTACAGTCTTGAGGCAGAATCCTTCTCTTCTCAGAAACCTCAGTGTTTGCTCTTAAAGCCTTCAACTGATTGGATCAGGCCCACCCACATTATCCAGGGTCATCTTCTTAAAGCCCACTGATTATAGATAATAATGCCATCTACAAAACGTCTTCACAGCAACATCTACACTAGTGTTTGGCCAAACAATTAGGCACCACAGCCTAGCCAAACTGGCACATAAAATGAAACATCACACACTCTGATCACAGTTTTGGGTGAGGATAGAGATGGGAGATCAGGAGCTAGGACCTAGGCTCTAATGGCTCCCAATGCCTCCTGCCCCCAGGGGTCATTGTCGGCTCCATTGTGGGAGTTCTCCTGTTTGTCTTCATACTGGGCCTGCTGGTTTTCTTCCTGAAGAAGAGGTAAGATTCAGGGCAGGACTGACCGCCTGGGGGTGGGGTGGTGGGGGAAAGGATGAGGACCCCTGGTTCCTAGCCTCTTTCCCTGAGCCTTTCACCCCAATGTCCTTTTCCCAGGAATAAGAAGAGCCCAGAGAAACAGGCAGCCAGGGATCTGGCCTTCAGGTGAGCAGAAGGTTTTGGGGAGTGTGTTAGATTCCTGGAGTCCTGGGCGGTGCAAAGGGTTAAGTGCTCAGATTTTGGTCGAAAGGTTGGCAGTTCTAATCCACCGAGAAGTGCCTCAGAAGGAAGGCCTGGCAATCCACTTCCAAAAGATCCCAGGCATTGAAAACCCTATGGAGCACAGTTCTACTCTGACACACATGGGTTTGCCATGAGTCGGCATTGACTCAACAGCAATTGGTTTGGTTTGGGTTTTTATTAGAGTCCTAGAGCTGCTGTAACAAAGTACCACAAACTGGGTGGCTTAAAACAACAGAAATTTATTACCTCGCAGTTCTGGAGGCTAGAAGTCCGACATCTGGGTGTCAGCTGTGTTGATTCCTTCTGAGGGCTCTGTGGGAGATTCTGTGCCATGCCTCTGAGCTTCTGGTAGCTCCACGTGTTCCTTGGAGTTCCTTGGCTTGCGCATGCGGTGTCGGATGACTGTCTTCCCTCTTTCTGTGTATCTTCTCCTTTGTCATAAGCACAACAGTCATATAGGATTGGAGTCCCTGGGTGGGGCAAACCGTTAAGAGCTTAGCTGCTAATCAAAATGTTGGCAGTTGGAATCCACCTAGAGGTGCCTCGGTAGGAGGGCTTGGTGATCTACTTCTGAAAGATCACAGCCATTGAAAACCCTATGGAGCACAGTTCTACTCTGACACACATGGGGTCGCCATGGGTCAGAGTTGACTCAATGGCAATTGGTTTGGTTTTGGTTTTTATTAGATTCCTAGAGCTGTGACCAAGTACTACTATCTGTGCATTAAAAATAATAGAAATTTATTCTCTCACAGTTCTGGAGGCTAGAAGTTCTTACTCCAACATGACCTCATGTTAACTTAACTGTTGGCATCTTTAGCTACAGAAGAGAGGGAAGAACTCATGACTGGTGGCTCCCGAGGTGGGAGGGTACTGGACCCAGAGCCAAGGAGGAAGGGAGTGGCCTTAAATGGGAGAAGAAATGCCATTTCTTTTGTCCTAGGAGTGCAGGAAGTTGAAATTTTCTTTCTATATCACTCCCTCTCCCCATAGTTTTCCAGGAGACATCCTGGCCGAAGATTTTGCTGATCATGTCAGGAAAAATGAGAAGGACAGCAATTGTGGTTTTGCAGAGGAATACCAGGTGCGGAGAGAGCAGAGAGGGCTGAGCTGACCCTCATGACCCTCAAACCGCATCCCAGACCTTCTCACACCTGCCTGTCGAGATTGAACAAACACAGTAACACATATTTTGTGAGATTAGATAGAAATTCTAAGGCACGACTATCTACCTTTCCAACTCATCGAAATCTTTAAAAAGTAATGGGAATTTTGTCCAGTCCTAAAGAAACTCCCTCAGCTCTGGATCAACTGGTTTTCCCTGACCCCTGCTTTCTTGCCTACCTCCCCCCATTTTCCCCAAAATCGTCTCAAATGTCTCACAGGGGTAGTGGCAGACATAAGCTCTATTTTTGGGCATGCTGCAGAGACCCATAGTGCAAGGGGTAGACAGAGGGATGAGGAAGGCAAGGGGAGCTCTAGGGGTGTTCTTGGCGGAAGGTAGAGAAACTCCAACCTCACTGCACCCCTTTTCTGCCTCCACCCCTAGCAACTGGCCCTGGAGGGACATGACCAGCCGCACATGGTGGCCTCAGCTCCAGAAAACAATGCCAAGAATCGCTACAGAAACGTGCTGCCCTGTGAGTCTTAGCGTCCCTGGTTGGTGCAAACGGTTTGTACTTAACTGCTAACTGAATGGTTGGCAGTTTGAACCCAGCTGGCAGTGCCATGGAAGAAAGGTCTGGCAATCTGCTTCTGTAAAGATCACAGCCAAGAAAACCTGATGGAGCTTAGTTCTACTCTGTAAACATGGGGTCACCATGGGTCAGCATCAACTCAATGGCAGTGGGTTTTGGTTTTTTTTGTGTGTGTGTCTTAAATTTCCACTGATTTGTCCCTGGCCCTCACTTTGTCAACATCCTGTCCCTGATCCTCATTTCCATATTTCTGTGCTCTCCTCTTAACCCCTGGGAGAGACAAAGAACTCCCTCTAGTGGGTTCCTTTGAGAACCCCCTGGCTCACTCACCCCAGCTGAGGTGCCTCTGTCCCTCTCAGCCTCCATGTTCTCTGTGCGTGTCTTCACCTCTGTACAACTTCTGTCCCTGGGTCTCAGCCTCCGTCTCTCTGACTCTCTGGATCTCTCCACTCCATCTCTGCGTCACTAATACTGCCTTTTTCTCCTAGATGACTGGTCCAGGGTGCCCCTGAAGCCCCTCCATGGGGAACCAGGCTCTGACTACATCAACGCTAGCTTCATACCTGTAAGGACGTGGCTGAGAGCTGGGACCAGAAGGGCACTGTCTTAGTTTGGGTTCTGTACAGAAACAAAACAGTGATATATAGATATAGATAGATAGATAGACAGACAGATAGATAGACAAAGAGATAAAGAGAGAAATTTACCTCAAGGAAATGGCTCACTCAATTGTGGTGCTGGCAAGTCCCAAATCTGTAGGTTAGGCAGCAGGCTGGAGACCTCTGCAGGCATACGTCTTAAGATCCATAGGTCAGGCCATGCCAAAGAGTGCAGGATCAAGAGAAAGAGAGAGGGAGAGAGCAAGCTCTGACAGAACATCCATTTATATGCTGGAGGCAGGCCACACCTCCAAGGAAACTCTCCTTTCTACTGATTGGTTGATCACCTCAGATGATATCATGGAAGATGATTACACTGCGTTACCTTGCGTTATATATTGGAACAGCAACCAGTCCAGTGTCTGCCAAAGCCCTGAGAATCAAGGCCTAGCCAAGTTGACACATAAAATTAACCATTATGGGTGCTGAGCAAGCCTTCGAGGATAAGTGCCACAGGGGTCCATCCAAAGCCCCCCTGACCTGTCTTCTTTCTTCCATCAGGGTCTCTGGAGCCCCCAGGAGTTCATCGCAGCCCAGGGCCCCCTGGCCCAGACGGTGGGTGACTTCTGGCGTTTGGTGTGGGAGCAACAGAGCCACACCCTGGTCATGCTGACCAACTGCGTGGAGTCTGGTTGGGTGAGAGTGGACCTGTTTCTTAGTTCTCTAATGCTGCTATAACAGAAATCCCACAAGTGGGTGGCTTTAATAAACAGAAATTAATTTTCACACAGTTTTGGAGGCTGAAAGTCCAAGTTCAGGGCACAGGCTCTGTTGTTGTTAGGCGTCGTCGAGTGGGTTCCGACTCATATGGACCCTACGTATAATAGAATGAATCACTACCCGGTCCATTCTGCTGCTATTTATAAGGTTTTCACTGGCCAGTTTTCTCAGAAGTAGACTGCCAGTTCCTTCTTCCTAGTCTGAGTCTGGAAACTCCGCTGAAACCTATCCACTCTCGGTGATCCTGCTGATATTGGAAATACTGGTGGCATAGCTTCCAGCATCACAGCAACACGCAGGCCACCATAGTATGAGAAACTAACAGACGAGTGGTTGGGTGCCAGCTCTAGGGGAAGGCCTTTCTCTCTCTGTCAGCTCTGGGGAAAGGTCCTTGTCTCTTCAGTTTATCTTCATTGGCTCCTTGGTGATCTTCATGTGGTATAGCATCTATCTTCCCGTCTCTGTTTTCTTGCTTACTTGTTTAATCTCTTTTATATCTCAAAAGAGTTTGACTCAAGACACACCCTACACTAATACTACCTAATTAACATACCAAAGAAACTCCATTCCCAAATAGGATTATAACCACAGGTATTAAAAAAAAAAACCGTTGCAGTGGAATCGATTCCAACTCATAGCGGACCTATAGGACAGAGCAGAACTGTCCGGTAGGGTTTCCAAGGAGCGGCTGGTAGACTCGAACTGCCAACCTTTTGGTTAGCAGCCTAAGCGCTTAACCACAGTCCCACCAGGGCTCCTCCCACAGGTACAGGGGTTAAGATTTACAACACATATTTTGAGAGGGACACAATTCAATCCAAAACAGACTGGGTCCTGGTGCTGACCTCCTGAACTCTGATGCCAACTCTGGCTCTTCTTCTATCTCCAACATGGACCCCCTGACCCATCCTCCGACCATCCACTGGTCCACGTATGGGTGTGAAGAGGATCCCAGTGACCTTGGGAAGTGTCTTAATTTCCTAATGCTTCTGTAACAGAAATACCACAAGTGGGTGGCTTTAAAGAACAGAAATTTATTTTCTCATAGTTTAGGGGGCTAGAAGTCCAAATTCAGGACACTGGCTCCAGGGGAGGGCTCTCTCTTTATCTCTCTTTGTTGGCTCTGGGGGAAGATCTTCGTCTCTTCCAGCATTCCTCGGTTCTTTGGCAATCTTCACATGGTATCTGTCTTCTCCTCTTTGTTCTTCCTTGTCTCTGTGTCTATGCTGCTGTTTATAGCACTCAGAAGTGATTAGTTTAGGACACACCCTACACCGATATGGCCTCATTAACATAAGAAAAAAAACCCTATTTCCAAATGGGATTACATACACAGGTATAACCAAAAAAACCCAAACCAGTTGTGGTTGAGTCAACTCTGACTCATGGTGACCCCATGTGTGTCAGAGTAGAACTGTGCCCCATAGAGTTACATCTACAGTTATGGGGTTAGAATTCCAACATGTATTTTGGAGGGACACAATTCAATCTATAACAGGAAGGAAGACTCCTCTTGGCTGTGATGAATCTATACCTGGTTGCCCTTGGGGGCTGCCTTGCTGCCAGGGCAAGGGGAACTTTTTTATACAAGGGCCACAGTGATTTTACTTTGCTCAGTCTCCATTTTCTCATCTGTAAAATGGGCGTAATAACAGTCACTACTTCTTAGTGCAGTAGATGCATGAGGGTAGGTTTCCTGGGACTCCTGGTCTCTAACCACCCCCCCTTCCCATTGTCCTCAGGTAAAGTGTGAACATTATTGGCCTCTGGATTCTCAGCCCTGCACTCATGGGCACATTCAGGTGACCCTGGTGGATGAGGAGGTGACAGAGAACTGGACTACGCGGGACCTGAAGCTCTTCCACGTAAGCCCCATCCTGGCTCCCAGTGCTTCTCCCCAAGACATTCCGAGCATCCCCCCAACCCAGAACTCTCCATGGGGTCTAATGTTCTGCTCACTCCCCCAAGGGACCCCAATGTGAGCAAGCATTTCCCCACAGGCCATAGAAACTGGCCACCCAGACCCACCCCAAGGCTCCTTAGCCTATGAGCTCCCCCTCTCCAATCTGCCCTTCCTCTAGGTGGAAGAGCAGAAGGCTCTGTCTGTACGTCAATTCCACTACATAGCCTGGCCCGATCATGGCGTCCCCCACTCCCCAGATCCCTTGCTGGCCTTCTGGAAGGTGCTTCGGAAATGGCTCGACCAGAACATGGGGGGTGGTCCACCCATTGTGCACTGCAGGTAAGGACCTACCAAGGACTCCCCCCTTTGATAGGACCCCCCTTTGGGACTCAGATAATGGTGTTACCTCGATCCTCAGAAATTGGGGAGGAGGTCAAAGAGAAGGGGGAGGAGGGGGAGGAGGAGGCAGGAGATAAGGGGATAGTAAAGCAGATTACGAAGGGAACAATGATCAAAAAGTTAAACATAGAAATACCATACAATCCAGCAATTCCATTCCTAGGCATATACCCAAAAGAACTGAAAGCGAGAATACAAACAGACACAGGTAAACTAATGTTTACTGCAGCACTATTCACAACAGCCGAAAGGTGGAAACAACCTAAATGTCCATCAACAGATGATTGGATAAACAAAATGTTGTATATACACACAATGGAATTATTATTCAGCCGTAAAGAGAAATAAAGTCCTGATGTGACATGGATGAACCTTGAAAACATTATGCTGAGTGAAATAAGTCATATTAACTGATAAAATCTTCAAGGACCCTATTTCCAAACAAGGTCATGTTCACGGGTACCGGGGGTTTAACCAGTTGCTGTTGACTCCAACTCATGGTGACCCCATGTGTATCAGAGTATAACTATGCCCCATAGGGTTTTCAATGACTGATTTTTTTGGAAGTAGATCACCAGGTCTTTCTTCCGAGGTAACTCTGGGTGAACTCAAACTACCAACCTTTTGGTTAGCAGCTAAATGTGTTAACCATTTGCACCCAGGAATATCTGTCTCATTAGGCGTTATTGTTGTTGTTAACTGCCCTTGACTCATGGTGACCCTATGAGGACTTCAATATATCTTTTTGGGGAACACAGTTCAATGCATGACATCCCTCCTGTGGCCTGACCCCTTCCTTGTCCTCACCTAGCGCTGGTGTGGGCCGCACTGGCACCCTCATCGCCCTGGATGTCTTGCTCCAGCAGCTGGAGTGTGAGGGTCTCGTGGGGCCTTTCAACTTTGTGAGAAAGATGAGAGGAAGCCGTCCCTTGATGGTTCAGACCGAGGTAATGGTGTTTCTAGGGGGCATAGGGAGGAGCGGGCTGTGGGAGCCCTGGGGGAAAGCTGGCAGAGGCCATCCTTCACTCCCTGTGCCCCCTACCCAGGCCCAGTATGTGTTCCTGCACCAGTGCATCCTGCGGTTCCTGCAACAGTCACACCCAGCCCCAGAGGAGGAAGAAGTCATGTATGAGAACGTGGCTGATCTGCTGTGTGAGAATGTGGCTGCAATCCAGGCCCACAAGTGTGAGGTCTAGGCTGCCTGAGGGCTTGAGACCCCAGCCCAGCCAGACTGAAGCATTCAGCCCTCACTTGAGTCCAGATTCCTGGATCCCTGGGAAAGCAGAGGGCTGGGGTCCCAGACTCTTGGGTCCTGCAGGAGGAAGGACTGGAAACTCACACTTCCATTTCCCTGGGGGAGAGGGGGTCTGGTGGGTTTGAACTCCTGAATCGTGTGGGAGGTGAGGGATGAGGACCTGGATTCCTGGTTCCTTGAAGGAAGAGAGGAACGAGAGCTTGGATTTCCTAGTTTCTTGAGGGAGAAGGAGGCTGGGGCCCTGGGTCTCAAGGATAGGGACTGAAACCTGGATTCCTGGGTTCTAGGGAGGAGGGAATTCCCAAACCCACTGCTGTTGATTCCAACTTATAGTGACCCTACAGGACAGAGTAGACATGTCCCATAGGGTTTCCAAGGCTGTAATCTTTATGGAAGCAGACTGCCACATCTTTCTCCTATGGAGCGGCTAGTGGTTTCCAACCACTGACCTTTCAGTTAGCAACCAAGTGCTTAACCACTGCACCACCAGGGCTCCTTGAGGAGGTATCTAGGGCCCTGAATTCTGGCTTCCCAAGGGGCAAGGGCAGGCAAGATCCTGCTCAGACTTTCCTTAGGAACCAAATCAGTCTTCTATAATCTGAGATTGAAGGGATTCCTTCCACCTGAGGTCCCCCTGTACCCCACTGCCTGTACATAGTTTTCCTTCTATCCTATAATTTATTAAATCACTGTTTTCCTGGATGCCGGTTGCCCTGGTGGATTTCTGGGTCTGGAAATAATGTTGGGATTGGGGGCAGTGGGGTTCCTGATGTCTAGGCATGAAGCAATGCCATAAAGAAGAATCTAGCAGTTGCCGTCTAATGAATTCCAACTCATGGTGACTCCGTGTGTGTCAGAGTAGAACTGCACTCCACAGAGTTTCAATTGCTGATTTTTAAGAGGTAGATCGCCAGGTCTTTCTTCTGAGGTGCCACTGGGTGGAATCAAAACTCCAAACTTTTGGTTAGCAGCCCAGCGTATTAACTGTTTGCACCATCCAGGGACTCCTAAGGAGGAATCTGTTGTTAGGTGCCATCGAGTCAATTTTCAACTCATAGCTATTCCATGTGACAGAGTAGAACTGCCCCATAGGGTTTTCTAGGCCGTAATCTTTACCGGAGCGAATCGTCAGGTTTTTCTCCCGCACAGTGGCTGAGTAGGTTCGAATAGCCAAACTTTCGGTTAGCAGCCGAGCGCTTAACCGTTGCGCCACCAAAATTTTGCATCTGTAAATGTAGGTTTGGATTGGCTGAGTTTCCTGGACCTAGAGGCGTGGGGGCTTGCCTCCTGGGACAGGAATTAGGGTAGCTTGTAGGGAGATGCCTGTGCCACTAGGACCAATATATTGGGAAGTTTCATGCTGAGTCTCCCATAGCTAATGTATCTGGGTATCTGGATACCTGGGTCTTCTGGGTCCTGGGGCCAGGTATCGTGGCGCTTGTGTATCTGGATGCCTGGGTCTCCAGAGAGGGTCTCCAGCTCCCGGTCCGGGGGTCGGTATCCTGGCGCCTGGTTCTTTGAGCTGTAGGGGGCGTTGGATGGATGCCCTATGTGTGGACCAGAAAACAGAAAGCACTGGGGAACCAGGATGAGCATCAGAGAGCGCCGTCGCGGTTCCTGGTTGGGGGAGGGGCGAGAGGTGGGGCTCTCAGCCTACCCGGGGCGAACACGGACACACACGCGCGCGCGCGCGCACACAAACACACACACGTACACACACGCCAGCTCCTCTCAGCCTCGATCAGCACCCAGGACAGCGCCGCCCGCTTGCGGGGGCGGGGTCCGGGCGGGGCCAGCGCCTCAGTGTCTCCCAGAACGGTCCGTGCAGCCGCCGACCAGGTAGGAGCCGCTGGGACCCCCTTCCTGAGCCCCATCCTTACTCCTATCGATAGAGGACCCTCAGAGGGTGCGTTCACTGAGGGGGACCGAGAGGGAGCAGGAAGGTTGGAGCCTGGAAAGGGGCGATTGGGATTTAGAGAGAAGATAGGTGTGGAGGCAGACAAACAGGGTGGGGGGAAAGGGCCCTGGGAGCTAGAGACCTGACCGCAGGCGGAGGGTGAGAGAGACGAAGATGGGCGGGGGGTAGGGGAGAGACCGATGGGAGACAGACAGACATAAGAAGAGACATCTATTGGGAGTCAAGAGAAAAGCGGAGAACGAAGCGGTCACGAGAACAGATGTAAAGACAAAGATTGGGGTGTGCGGGAGAGACGAACAGGCCCAGATATGTGTGCGGGTCCAGGAGAGGCACCAGGCAGCCGCCCACCCCCTCCAAGAGTAGGGAAAGGAGGGGAACCTGAGTCTCAGCTACCAGGGCCAGATGTGGAGGGAGGAGCCAGATATGGGCGCACGGACGGACGGACGCATGGACCACAGACCGCCCCCCTCCCCACTTTCCCGAGGATCCGCGTCTGGGGTCCCACGCCCAAGGGCCTGAAGGGAGCCTGCCCCGCCCAGACTCCACTTCTGTGCGTAAGCCCCGCCCGTTGTCGTGGCAACAGTCCGTTGCCCGGGCAACCAACCAGTGGTGCCCCCGCTCCGCCTGAGAGGAGCCAGCCGTTGCTCTGAGCAACCCGGTGCGCTGGTTCCCACGCCCGCCTTCTCCTACTTCCGGTTAAAGTCCTGGGGGAGGGAGGGGCAGAAATCACCGGGAGTACTGAGGGTGCCTTGAAGGGAAGTGGCGTTCCCTTAGTATGGAACTAGGTCCTAGAACCCAACTCCTAGCGCCCGCCCTCCGCCGCGGGGAGGAACTGAAACTGGGTCCTGGAACTACAACTCCCAGCATGCCTCGCGCTGGACGGCCGGTCTGTGCGCGGCCGTCCGCCCAGGAGGCCGATGGGAGTTGTAGTTCTTTGTTGTCCGGCGGCTTCAATGGGTTGCTTGGGTTGGGAGTGGGGGGCTAGGGCGCCTGGGTGCCTCTGCAGAAAGGACTGTAGGACGCCGCCGCCATGTTCCCGGAGCCTCCAACCTCGGGGCCTCCAGCTCCCGACGCGCCTCCTGATTCCAGCCGCATCAGCTACGGTCCTGGTGAGCGAGACCTGGAGTCAGAGCGGACAAAAAGGCTGGCCAGGATTTCCAGGGGCGGGATTCGGAAGCGTGTACTCTGGCTGGAGGGCTGGAAAATCCGGGTGGGATTTTAGGTCAGAGTCCTGGGCTGGAATCTGAAAGAAATGGGGAAAAGGAGCAGGTTTGCAAAAAAACCGGAATCAGATAAAGGGATGTGGAATGGAATGGAATCTTGGATTGGAGAATTGGAAGATCCACCTCTTCCTTCTCTTTACAGTTGGAGAAACTGAGGCCCTGGGAGGGGCAGGGCTTCTTCTAAAAGCAACAGGGTAGAGCAGAAATTAGAATGGGAGTGAAAGGGGAGGTGGAACTAATAGGAAAGAAAATTCGATAGTGTCAGCCTGGATTAGGGCATCAAATCACTTTGTAGGTGAGATTGATTGGAAGGAAAACACGGGAATGAAGTGGAATGGAAATGACTGAAGGGAAAACAAGGCCAGGATTCCAGACTCCACATGGAATCCTCAGTGCACATTGTCTTCACCCCCTCTGCAGTGCCCCCCTGGGCCCTGGCCACAGTCGTGCTGATCTCAGGCCTCCTCATCTTCAGCTGCTGCTTCTGTCTCTTCCGGAGGCGTTGTCGGAGGCGGACGGGCAAGAAGAGCCAGGCCCAAGCCCAGGTCCACCTGCAGGAAGTGAAGGAGCTGGGTCGGAGTTATATAGACAAGGTGTGGCCTGGCCCAGCCCTGCAACCCTGCCTCTTCCCATAGCCCCGCCCCCCTCAATGGCCCAGCCAGTTTCAGGCTCTGCTCCCTTCCCTCCTGTGGTCGTTAGTTGCCATCAAGTTGGCTCTGACTCATGGAGACTTTACGTATAACAGAACAAAATATTTCCCAGTCTTGTGCCATCTTCGTGATAGTTGGTATGTTTGAGTCCATTGTTGTGGCTATTGTGTCGGTTCATCCCTGACTGGACTCTGGGGATCTGGAGATGGATCAGACCTTGTTACTTGTGCTCAAGAAGCTTCCAATCTGGTGGGGGAGTCAGACACTGACAGACATTCAGAGTGCAGGGTGATATGTGCCATATTAGAGGCAGTACAGGGCATTATGGGAGCTCAGGGAAGACACCTGATAGCCTAGAGGGCCAGAGAAGGCTTCCTGGAGGAAGTGACTTCTGCTCTGAGACTCAAGGGACAAACAGAGCTAACCAAGAGCAGGGAAAAGGACCTTCTAGGCAGAAGAAGGAAACCCTGATGGCATAGTGGTTAAGAGCTATGTCTGCTAACTGAAAGGTCAGCAGTTTGAGTCCACCAGGCACTCCTTGGAAACTCTACGGGGCAGTTCTACTTTGTCCTACAGGGTCACTATGAGTCAGAATCGACTCAACGGCAATGGGTTAGGCAGAAGAAAGGCATGTGGTAAGAACTGGAATCCAGATTCTAAGGCATATTTGGAGAATACGTATGTATTCTATAATAATAGCAATTTTTGAGAAGGAAGAGACAGGAAATACTAGTTATGATCATGGACTTGAGGCTCAGAGAGGGACAGTGAATTTCTCAAGGTCACAGATATATATGTGTGTATGTATGTACTATATAACAGAGCCCTGGTGGTGCAATGGTTAAGCTCTGGGCTGGGCTGCTAACCAAAAGGTTGGCAGTTTGAACCCACCCAGTGGCTCCATGGGAGAAAGACCTGGTGGTCTGCTCCCATAAAGATTACAGCCTAGAAAACCCTATGGGACAGTTCTTCTCTGTCACATGGGATCACTATGAGTCGAAAATAGACTCGACAGCACGTAACAACAGCATATAATATATGGAGTCGCTGGGTGGTGCAAACAGTTAATACACTCATCTACTAACTGAAAGGTTCGCAGTTCGAATCCACCCAGAGATGACTCAGAAGAAAGGCCTGGTGATCTACCTCT